TCGTTTAGTCCCTCACGTGTATCGTCGATAAGCACAATATCATCCGCGAAAAGCATGCACCATGGGACCCCTTCTTGCACACCTTGAGTTAGGACGTCCATCACCAAGGCGAACAAAAAAGGACTAAGGGCAGACCCCTGGTGCAACCCCATCCCTACCGAGAATGACTCAGAGTCGCCCCCGAAGGTCCTTACCCTAGTCATAGCCCCATCGTACATATCCTTGATCGCGCGAGTATACGCGATGGGGACTCCTCTCGTCTCAAGGCACCTCCATAAGACCTCCCTTGGCACCCTATCGTACGCCTTCTAGAGATCAATGAACACCATATGAAGGTCCTTCTTCCTAGCTCTATACTCTTCCATTAACCTGCTCACGTAGTGAATGGCCTCTGTAGTTGATATACCAAGCATGAAACCAAACTGGTTCTCAGAGATGCATACCCCTTTCCGCAACCTATACTCAATGACTCGCTCCCAAACCTTCATGGTGTGGCTAAGCAGTTTGATGCCTCTGTAATTCTCGCAGCTCTGGATGTCACCTTTGCCTTTAAACAGGGGGACCAAGAGACTCTCCCTCCACTCATCTGGCATCCTTGCTGTCCGGAAGATAACATTGAAGAGTTTGGTTAACCACACCCACGCACCACGACCCGTATGCTTCCAGAACTCCACCGGAATCTCATCTGGTCCCAAAGCTCTCCCACTACGCATCCCGCGGAGAGCCCGAACCACCTCTTCCAGGCAAATGCGCCGGCAAAAAAAATATGCTCGTAATTGTCATCGATGATCGAATTCAAGTGCTGGACGTGTATGTGTTATTAAGATTGAAATTTGCATTGAATAGAACAAAAACATAAGTCTATTCTCAATGTAATAAAACTTTTTTATTCCCTAAATAGGACTTAATAATGACCAGTGAGAAGGTAATGTCGAAGTAATGCTGGACATTTAGTTGAATAATGACTAATAGATAATGACCAATGGTCCTGCATTGGAAAATAAAAACATATGATCTTATTTTGAGAAAGTCATTATGTTTTAGTCATATATAGGTAAATTACTTTTTTCAAAAATAATATGACCTTTCACTGTGATGCATAATAATCTTAACTTTATTTTTAACAGAACATGTTTTGCGCAATAAATTAAATATTTGTTTATTTTTGATGAATTATCAATTTTTTAATTTTTTTTAAAAAATCCCTTAAATTTTTAAAATGACTTTCTCCCTCCATTTCTTTTCCTTTTTTTAAAGATTAGTCTTACCTCTGAAAAAATATAAAAATAGATATAAAAAATAATGAAAATGAGAAAAAAACATAAAACGTACTTTCTCTCTCCCATAAAACAAATCCTGTTTAAAAAAACGCACTCCTCTAAATGTGTAATTTTGATGTTATTTTCTAATTATTACTCATCTATCCGACACATCTCATTCTACTCTATTACTCTCTCCGTTACATAAAACCTTTTCTCTTTCGTTTTTTTCTAATTTGCTAAAACACTTCCACTTTCTATTAAAAAATCACTTTTACCCTTATTTTTTCATACCCTCTCTATCACATCATACTTTTTCACTAATAACCAAACTATCACATCCTACTTTTACTCATCACATCAGGGGCAAAATTAGAAAGTCAACCAAAATTACACTTTCCTTATTTTAGCTCAAAGTCAAAATAGGAAGTGTTTAAAGGAACGAAGGGAGTATAAAGTAAGGGAAAAATTAGAAAATAACACCAAAATTACTCATTTTAAGGGTGCATCTTTTTTCAAAAATGAAGGGTTTTATGCGACGATGGGAGTACAGAATTAATGAAATAAAAAGATATCAATAAATACTAACCTCAACTGATTAGGAATAAAACTAAAATTCTCTTATATAAATTGTACTCCCTCCGTTCTCAAAAACATTCTCTTAATTTCATTTTTTCCACTTTCACTAAAACAGTTCTACTTTTTATTAAAAAAATCATTTTTACCTCTACTTTATTTCATACTCAACCTAACACATCATACTTTTTCTCTAATAATCTATCCATCACATCTTACTTTTTCCCATCACTTCAAGGGAAAAATTGGAAATCAACTACTCCGTACAATTTAACACTTCCTTATTTTTACACTTGGTCAAACTAGAAACCCTTTTTAAGAAAGGAGGGAGTATTGTTCATTTTTATACAAATTTATAAATAAATTAAAATAAATTTAACACGTATGAAAATTTTTATATTTTTTTAGTTATGGAAATTCATTTTGGGACATAGGGAGTAAGTAATACTCCCTCCGTCCTAAAACTTTCTTCTCAGTTTGACTTTTCTCTATTTTTAATTTTTGGCTTTGACTTCAAATTTTACCCTCCTTAAAAAAAGTTTTTTTGAATTTTTTTTGCAGTCATTCAAAATATAGAGTTAGAAGATAATTGATGTAAATACATGAGGGTATTAATGTCATTTGTCATCTTTTTTCTAATGAGAAGATAATTTTAGGACGGAGAAAAAGGGGAAGTGGGAAGAAAGTTTTATGACGGAGGGAGTATATGTATATAAATAGTTCGAATGGTAAAATAAAAGTAAATATTTGAGATCACATGAATGTAATTATTTACTAATGTACATGAATATAATATGTTTATTGTCTGGCGGAATCAATTTCGGATCTGATCGATTTCGAATCTTATCGGTTTCGGGTCTTATTAATTTTGAATTTAACCATTTCAGATTTAAACGGTTTCGGATCTAATCGGTAAGATCTAATCGGTTTAGGTATGGATATATTTAGATCAGATCATTCAATTCGGAGAATCAGTTCTAGCTCTGTTTTTCCAGGTCTACTCTGATCTCCATTATAAATAGGAGGCTCAAGATCCTGCAAATATATCATTAAGAATAAGATTAATATAGCTCAGTAGTATATCTCTCTCTATCAATTATATCTAAGTATTTTCTTCTATTTTATACTCTCCGTTTCTTAAAATATTTACTCTTTAGCTTTTTTGTTTTCTCTAAAACACTTCTATTTTCTATTAAAAAACCACTTTTATTCATATATTTTTTTACCCTACGTATCACATCATGCTTTTTCATTAATAATCTACTCATCACGTTTTATGAAACAAAGTAATATATTAGGCTAAATCTGACGGTTTTGGTATGAAATTTTCCTTAATTTACCTATTAAACAATGCCATTTTTTGGCTTAATTAAAATGGACCGGAGCATCATACATTTAACGTATTTTGTTTTAGATCTATGTCATTTAACGTAGTTTAATTAATTAATGAGTTACCTTCTTGAAACTTTGTAGCGGCGGTTAATATAAATAAATAACCCTCCCAAGCCTTAAATACTTCAATTTCTTCGTCAGTCAACTCTTCTAATTCATTCACATCTTCGTTCTCATCTAAACTCTCCCATTATATATATTCATCGTTGTGAGACAAAATTACAGCTTGATAGCGCTTGCAAACTGAAGCATGTCTCGCACAACTTTCACTTTCTTGTTGTTTAGCCTAATTATAACAATAGCAATCTCCGCACCATTTTTAGAAGACGCCAAAGCCTATATTGTTTTTACAGATAAACCTTATGATGATGATCCTTACACTCACTCTCTTGAAATCTTAACCTCCATTCTTGGCAGGTATATAATTTAAATACTATATTTTCTTTTGAAATATAATTTAAATATGCTCTTTTTTTCTTTTACTCTGTAACAAATAAGCTAAATTCCACCGTTAATCCTTTATGTTAATAGGTCAAACACGGTTAGTCTTTCAACTTTGTTAATTGTATTAAAAACGAAAATTTCCTCACATGTATTTATAACGAAAAATGAAAAAAATGTATGAACTAACGGCAAAATTAACAAAGAACCCATCATGCAATATTAACGACACTTGAAGAGTCATTCATGGAATTTACCAAGTGAATGAATAACTGTGCATGACTCAATAACTTGAAGGACCAACAACAAAATTTAGCTTAACATATATTTTTTGCAATGTCACACATTATTTCACCTTTATCTTTCATATTTCTAACAAACATTAAAACTTAACTTAAAATGGTCTCTGTTCTCAAAGGTAAGATAACGTTGGTAAAAAGTGAAATTTGCACTAAATAATACTAAAGTATATGTCATTTTCCAATGTAATATTTAAATTTTTTTATTATCTAAAAAGTACTTGAATAATGTCTAGTGACAGGAACAATTAATGTCCAGTGATGTTTGACATTTAGTTTGAACAATGTCTAGTGATGTTGGACATTTACTTGTAAATGATCAGTAGACAATGACCAGAAGTACTACATTATTAGAATATAAAAATATATAGTACTATTTTGAGAAAATCACTATGTTTTAATACTATTTAAGTAAAATCCTGTTGTAAAAATTCACATGCTTGTTTTTGGATTAAGTTTGCAGAACTAACATCATGTGTCTAAAATATGCCACAGAGGCTTAGGTTACATTTTTGTGACAATTGACTATGTTTTACTTATTTACTACTCCCTCCCTCTTAAAATTAACTTCTCATTTGACTTTTCACGGTCTCCAATGCGACACTTTGACCATCAATATCTCAATTGTTATATAAATATATTTTATAAAAGTTATATATTTCAAAACTATATTCCAAAATGAATATATTGCTAATAAATTTATATGAAAATTCAATGTATTTTTTCCTTAATATACGGTCAAAGTTTAAAAAGTTTGAGTGTAAAAGTCAAACTGAGAAGTTAATTTTAGGACGAAAGGAGTACTATACACAACAAAATAAAAAAAGTGAACGTTTCTACGATATTAAAATCACAGATTGAAGACATTATATTTTTCTCTAGTAAATCAGAAGCTTGTCACTTTTTTTAAAATTTCATTTTGTGTGCATGGCGTGCTGATGTTTTTAGTAAGGATGAAGCAAGGAAGGCATTACTTTATGTCTACCAACTTTCTACACAAGGATTTGTAGCAATTCTCACTCGGGAACAAGTCTCTCGTCTCTCTAGTAAGGCTTATTCATTTTAAGTTTTTTTTGTCAAAGATATACTCCTCCCGTCCCACAATGAATATCACTTTTTAAACGGTATATAAAACTTCATCACTTTTAAAATCATTTTAATTACAGATTGATATAGAAATAAAAAGTATCTCGTATAAATTACATCGTTCAAAAGTACATAAAATGTCCTATAAAACAATATGTGACAAGAATATTTTATTTTATCAAATTATAAATAAGAACATACAAAGAAATAAAAGTTATCGAGAAATCGTAATAGTAACAGGAACATCCATTTCAGGACGGAGGGAGTAGTTAGTATTTGAGATACTATGTGGATGATTCTATGTGCTTAGAAGCTTGTCAAATTTGCTTATAAACGGTATATTTTTAACTTATAAATCATCATATGACGTGTTTTTTTATATTTATAATTAAGCTGACTTATAAACAGCTTATAAATCAAATAAATTAGAATGTCTTACCAACTTATATTTTTAAGTCAGTTTTTCATTTTTCTATTTTGACCAGTGTTAGAGTGCATCCCACATCGGAAGTTCAAGAGTAAAATAACCGGTATATAAGCTCTTGAGTTAGACTAATTAATTGATTGGATTCAATCTTTTAACACGGTTCAATTCAAGTGTGTTATTGCCAATCCAGTCATCCTTACCCCATCCTAAATTCTATCATGGTATCAGAGCCAGTTTTAGCCCACCTCGTTTGTCAAGGTGTCCGTCTAGACGTTCATTCCTAGCGGCCCGTTAGTCTTTAGCCAGTTGTCCGTATGGATATTGTACCCAACGGC